GCTGGTTAATGGACACTTACCCCTTTGGCTCATTAACCAGTCGATGAGTTGGCCGGCTCGTCACGTCACAGTCGTTCATTCTGCCCCCCCCCCAGCAGAATATCTCTGTCCCAAACGCTAGCCTGTTCGACTTTGATGCAATCAACCTGAACGTGCAAACGCAGGCTCTGGCGTTCCACCTTCTTGGATACACCTTCAGTAGTACCCTCATTTTCCGGCAAAGCAGCGTTATTTCATTAAGGGTGTGGGGGGGGGGAGTGTTCTCGTATCGCCTCCCGCACCTCTCTCTGCCTCGTAAACCTCAGGGCCTCAGACTTTCACTGAGAGAGAAAAAGCAAAGAGAATCTTAAGACACACCTGCTCCTCACCTCCGCCTCCTTTTCTTTATATCTCACTTGGTCTCATTAGAGGGCTAAGATTGCTCTGAAAGTTTCCGATCCCTCTTCAAGCATTTACACATCACTGAATGTTATTGTTAGTGCAGACTGGCGTCCGTTAAGTCATTCTGTTTTCGGTAGGGTAAAGAAAATCAAAATGCATCTCTTTCTCCCCAATGCAATGCTCGCATTACGTTGCGATAGATGTGAAAATCTTCTCTTTTTTTGTGCCCTGTGACTCCCAATTGATGCTTCAATGCAACTTAGTGAAAACTGGATGTTGTTACTGTGCTACACCACATCCAGAGTCTTGTTTATCGACAGGGACAAAGATCAACATGCAGCTTAGATACACATTTGCATTTGAATGAATACGACACTGATTGCCTGTTATCCCCGTGTGTGTATATTTACATTTACTATTCATATTGACTATGATGTCAGGGTTTTCCTTTGTTTCAGTAGTCCAGTTGATGAACCATTCAGTTTGTAGGCACTTTGTTCAAGTGCTGTTTCTGGAGGCGTGAATCATCTGAGGATTTGACTGATTTAAGAAAAAAGAAAAAAAAACACACACATTTTGAGTATTAAGCTTTTGAACACACTGAACAGCATCATTGTGCCGCATCGAGTAAACCATGCATTTTGAGCTATGTTTTAAGAACCTGTTGCTCATTGAACACAGTGGAGCACTGGGGTTGTGACTCCAATGGATGGATTTTATGCCAAGGAAAACAAGTCCAGCCCCACATTCATTCATTTTAAAGACTATGGACGAATGGATGCATGTAATGGATTTAATGCAGAGTGAGTAGACTCTTAGAGACATACCTTTTTGGATTTTAATGTGAAGCCAAAGGAGTGAAGTATTGTCTCCTGGCCTTGTGCTTTGGAGGTTTGCAAAGACTGGATTCTGTTGAGAACGGCGACAAACAAAATTCACTCCTAAAAGACTGAATGGATTTGATACCAAGCCACGAGAGGAGGTGGAAATATGATTGAGATTCTGGACTTCTTCTTGTTGTGATCACCATTTTTGCCCATCACCACGTAGAAAGAAGTAAGCTCAGTAGTAAACAATGGAAAGTACAAATCTCACGTGTGTCTGCTAAAGAGAGAGCTGAACATTTTGGGAAATGCATGCTTTCTGATGCTGAAGATTGATATGAGAACGTCTAAATTTTGGATTGTAATCAAAGGTTATTAATTATTACTTTTGTTTATTTAACAAAACGTCTTTAAGAAATGTAAAAATGAACTGTTATATCAATCTTCTAGTCTCAGTCTCAGCACAAAAAACAAATAATTGCATTTCCTAAAATGTCACGAATGCTTTAAAGCCAGGTTTTTGCCTTTCACCCAAAATTTAGAAATCTGAATTCACATTAGAGAAATAAATAGATCTAGTGTAGCCCTTTTGGTAGCAATTTGATGATGAATTTAATCAGCTTCAGTATTAGAACTCTCCACTTCTTAAATAAAACATATGCCTTCTTTTTATCCTGAGGGGAGGTGGAGAAATGCTAAGAAGGCCGCGGACTATTAATGCTAAAGATGAAGAAACAAAAAAAAAGAGAAAAGATTAAATAAAATGAGTCGCAATCCATAATTTTAACATGTTATTCCACACACAGTTGCATAGAAAACTGAATGAAATCATTTACTTTGTTTATTCTCTGTGTGTGAGTGTGAATCACAAGCGTGTATTTTCTAAAGTGTGGGTGGACACAGTGAGGTCATCCTGAGACATTCGCATGGTCCCACACTCTGCTGATTGAGCTGTCCACAATGGTACCACAGTCTGTCCACACCTAATGATGTTTATGCTGTCCTTGTCGGTTTCATCTTATTTCATTTTTTCCCATCATTTTGTTTGTGAGGATGCAAATGTCACTCAGTTTATATTGTTAAAAAAAAGAAAGAAAAGAACATGACGTTGTTGGGTTGTTTGCAATATGGCTCAGATATCTGTTGCTGCTAAGCCCACATGTCATGAAAAATGGACAACACAGCAAGTTTGATTTTTGACTAAAATTAGGAGTGATATGCAAATGGATAGTAATGGTGGTTCAGTTTGAAAATCATAAGAAATAAAACAGTATGTCATCAAAGCCTATTGAAAGGATTTTCACCTTATTTGAGCCACTGACCCTTGATTACTCTCAAACTAAGTAAATGATACTAGTCAATTTTTGAGTGTTGAGCTCTACAGGATTTTTGCCTTTGTGCTTGACATCAATGTATAATAATCAGATTGGTAAAAATGGATTTCATTCTCATTAGTTACATGTAATTCCAACATACATTTACAATAAGGTTTGTGGTGTACCCACAGTCACAAGGGTATAGTTTTTAGCAAGATGTGTTACTGTAGGATTTCTCTTTCCCTTCTTTGTTTACAATAATAGATATCTCAAGGGATTTTCATAGTAACGTAAAGATCCTCCACTTTTAGAGAGAGAAAACCCAAACACAATTCTCTATGAGCAGCACTTGGCAAAAGTGGGGAAGAAAAACTCCCCTTTCACAGGATGAGATCTCCAGCAGAACCAGGCGCAGTGAGGGGCAGACATCTGCTTTGACTGTTTGTGTATGAGGTGAAATGGGGGGGGGGAAATAGTGAGAGACCAAAGTCAAAAACAAGGACTAAACAAACTGAGAAAGTGGATAAAAGTTAACTAAAAAGAGGGAGTAGGGGAGAGGTCCCCTTCTCATGATGAGAACTCTCCCATTAGTCTGAGGCTAAAGCAGCATTACTAAGGGATAGTTCGGATCATTTGACCCAGTCCTCTACAAACGTTATTGAAAAGGGAAGTTTTAAGCCTCATCTTAAAAGTACAGAGGGTGTCTCTACTCTGTGTCTCCTGAATCCAAACTGGGAGCTGGTTCCACAGGAGAGGAGCCTGAGAGTTGAAGACTTGGCCTCCTATTCTAGTTTTAGAAACTCTACGAATCACAAGTATGCCTGCAGTCGAGCCTGCTCATTCCAGACTTTGTACCCAAGGATATGGATTAAAAAATCTTCAAGGATTTTAAACTCGATATCTTTCTTATATCACCCGTTCAGTCCCTGGGTTTTCCCAATTTATATGTGTAAAGAAGTAAGTCTAGAGACAAAGCTGGTGAGGGCCATCACTATGGCTAAGGTGACAAAGATACTAAAACAACTGCTGGATGACTGTGCCACTGGGTGGCTGGAATTCACCCTGACTTCCTCAAGGTTCATGATGTTTTGCGGCTTTGTTGGTTAAATCTCTTCTGCATAGTCTTTATGGAAGTCTGGAGCAGTGACTCTGGATTAGCAGACTGGGGCGGTGATACGGGGATTCCTGTAACTATTCTTGTAACTGTGTGTGGTACATTTACATGGGAATCACACTTTTCAGCTCACCTGGAAAGGTCTTGCCAGTGTACTGAGGCGGTGAGTCCCTCTGTTAGAGTGTACTTGGAGAGGGCATATAACTGCGTCCTTTGGAGTGTCCGGGTGCTTAGGGAGAATGGTGCACCTGGCTCATTGTCATATTCAGTCCCTGTACAACCATCACAAAAGCATGGCTCATATTGCCAGTAGTAACACTCTTCCCAAGAGCATCTGCACCTGGAGCTGTTGAAGGAATTGAATTATCTTGGCTCTCCTTCACGAGTGAGGAGTGGAGTGGAAGATAAATACGGTTTTGCGGTGTTGGTAGTGATGAGGGTCTTATACTGGAAAGTGAAGCTGTCAATTTACCAGTCTATCTATCTACAGCCATGAGCTCCTGCTAGTGACCAAAAGAATAAGATCACAGAAACAAGCAGTAGATGTGAGTTTCATCTGAAGTGTGTTTGGGCTCAGCCGTAGAGATCGAGTGAGGAGTCATTTGGAAGTAGAGCTGCTACTTTTCTTTATCAAAAACAGCTCACTGAGGTGATTCGGTGTTCTGACGAGGATGTCTCCAGGGCACCTTGTAGTGAGGTGTTTTTGTCATAGAACACCAGGAAGATACCTCGGGGAAGATCCAGGACACGCTGGAAAGACTACATGCCTCGGGTGAGTTGGTGGTTTTGCCACTGAAGAGATCCAAGGCGTGGCTGCAGAGGGGGGTTCTGGATTACTGTGCGAGATGATATTAGGAAGCACCATAGCATAAAAAGAAGCTAAAAAAGTAGCATACTTCACTGTTAATGTTTACTCGTGAGGGTAATTTCAAATCCATTAGTCGGCTTTTAATATTTGTTGGAAGAGCTTGTAATCTCTTGACAGACATAAAAAAATTATTACTGACTTACCTTTTTGTAAATATTATATTTTCTAGTATATTAAGGTAGATGTATCGGTGTTTCAGTGACCTCCACTTACATGATCACTGCCGTTGCCCGTTTGTGTCTTCATAATGACAGATGACAGGTAATTAAAACCATAAGCGCTCCCATTCTGCTTCTTGAGTTGAAGGCACACATTTTTTTTCCTCAAAAACTCTCATTTTATCCTTTCAAGCAAAGGCATAGTCCTCTATCGTGAAATCCAGAGCAGACTGTCTAACTGTACTTATATAAAAGAGCAGCAGTACCCAAGAAAAGGATGAAGTTTATTCTCACCATTTGCTTCTGAGCAAATAAATGTATTTAGATCCAAAGATGTTGTTTTTTTAACTGTTATATTTAATGTAGAACTTTTCCTCGTGACAATGATGATGTTAGTTATCTGTTGCAGCTTTTGATATCAAATGTGCAGCTTTAGGAAAAAAAAATGTTTGTCCCCACCATGTGGCAGCATCTGCTGTTTACAGTTTATTTTTATCATTAGTGTTTCACTTGACTGTTCTATTATTAGCCCAGTATCCCCTTGCATCTTTGTAATGCATGTTTAAAAAAGGGAAAAAACAAAACAATCCATTCAGAAATGATGTAAAGCTGAGTAAGTATCAAAGGTAGGAGAAAACCTTCGTGTTGGTCTAAATTTAATTCAAACTGGAGACAGACCGAAAAAAAAATGACCAAAAAAACCAGCTGCAATGCACAAACCTGCAATACAGCTTATTTACAATCATAAACGCATCATTTGTGCATTTAATCCTAGCATTCAACTGTTGATTTTATTTTCTCTCTGATTTTTTGTGACTTAAGGGAGTCTTTCTCTTACATAAGGTTCTGGAAAGTATTTAAAGAAAGACAAGGCAGGGAAAGTCAGACTCATTCAGTTAAAGGAATTAGGAGCAGTGCTTTCAAAACAGATGCTCTTCCAGAAAATGGTACGATCCCACATACCAGCAGGAAGTTACTTCCCATTTATGATCTTCTCCTCTGTGACACATCATTGTTTGTCCTGACATGCCTCTAGGTGTCTGTGTGCTGCTCTCAGTGTGTCCTGCAGGTCTTTGTACCGGGCCAGAGTGCAGGCTTCCTCTAGCTGGGCCCAGCGGTAATCCTGGTGCTCATCAGACAAAGTCACAGCAGTCCCTGGGTCCTTCAGCTCAGCCAACCAGTACAGCACCTCTTTGGGTTTGCCACGCACCTCATAGTGCAACTCCTGAACAAAGCCTTTTATCACTTTCAGGTGCTCTGCCCCAAGCCCCGCCTCCTCCTTGGTCTCTCTCAGTGCTGTGGTGAGGTCATCCTCACCTGGGTCCACATGACCTTATGGTGAATTTATTAGGGGGGAAAAAAGACTCATTAACGTGTAATTTTCTGTAATGAAGAAAAAATCAATCTAGTGTTTCTTAAACACACCTTTCGGTGGCGTCCAGTGGTGTTCCCCATAAGATGTCTGCAGAAGGAGATACTCGATGTTGCCTGGAGGAGGGATGCGGCCGACTAGACGGCGAAATATGATAAAGCCACAAGCTCGGAGTACCATCTTCCTGTTAAAGCAACTTATACACAAACACAATTCCTCTGTTATTGTGTGTTTGCTTTCCAGAAAACTAAGGACTTTATTGGATGATGACAACATTTTATAACCGCAGATATAGAACAAATTTAAAGTGTCAAACCACAAACTCATGCATCCTGCACTCAACTAAAATATAACATTTCTTTCAACAGTGCCTTAATAAAAGTCCAGTGCTAGTCATTTTTTGTTGTTTATGCATCATGTTTTGCATTTGTTACATAAATGTGTATTTTACAGATAAGGTGCACATGCCCACAAATATTAACATAGACAAATGTACATATACTCACAGGCCACTTTGTTAAGTACACTTGCTCAACTGTATTAATCCAAATATTTAATCAGCCAATCACGTGGCCACAACTTTAAGGTCAAGACGACTTAGTGAAGTTCAAAGTACGTGTCAGAATAGGTGATTTAAGTGGCTTTTCATGGCTGTTGGTTCCAGTTGGGATGGTTTAAGTATTTCAGAAACTGCTGATCTACTGAGATTTTGCCACAAGGCCATCTCTACGGTTCACAGAGAATGGCCTGAAACACAGAAAATACGCTGTGAGTGGCAGTTCACTGCTTGACTATACTATGCTGATGCCAGAGTTCAGAGGAATGGCCAGACTGCTTTGAGCTGACAGGAGGGACTCAAATAACTGTTCATTACAACCAATGTATGCAGAGGAGCATTTCTTAATCCACAGCATGTCAAACCTTGAAGCAGGAACAAGAAACTGAAACAACAATTTACACGGTCTCACCAAACTTGAACAATAGAAGATGGTCGTAAAAATGTTGCCAGGTCTGATGAGTGTCGATTTCTACTGCAACATTTGAATGGTAGGGTCAGAATTTTATGTAAATAAGATGAAAGCATGGATCCAACCATACATCAGGCTGGTGGTGATGGTGTAATGGTGTGGGAATTATTATCTTGCCACACTTTGGCCTCTTGGTACCAATTTTAACTTCACAGCCTGCATGTCATTCCTTTTAAGACCACTGTGTACCCATCTCTTGATGGCTGCTTCCAGGAGGATATTGTGCCATATCACAAACTTCAAATGATCTCAAACTGGTTTCTTGAGCACGACAAGTTTTAAGCCAGGCTATTCCCTGTATTTGAATGGCCAAAAAAGCTCCTTTGGGATATGCTGGAACAGGAGATTAACATTATATTGACATGCTGTCATATCAATATGTACCATAACCCATAGAAGAATTAAGGCAGTCCTGAAAACCAAAGGGGGTTCAATCCAGTACTAGCAAATTGTGTATATCGCTTTTTGTTAGTTAGTTACGGCAAAGATTAATGATGGGTACATTTATTATTGTACATGTGGTACTAAGTCCTGTGAAAATAGTTATAAACACTCTAAACCAGCTCAGTGCAGGTTTTGAAATGTAGCTTTGCGGGAAGACTAATTCTTTTATATATTTATTTTAAAATCAAGCGACAGTTAAAGACTAATTCTATACCAGATTCTATGGATTTATTTTGTAAAACACAGTCGCGACGATTAAATATTTACTGACGGAAAGAAATGTGTTAGTATTTACAGCACACGGTTAGCTAGCTTTCAAATCGGATGTGAAGCCTAATATGAGCTTCAACCGCCGCTTTTATGGTGGATGTTTCTACTCCACCGGACGCACTGCTGATCTTCACCTCATGCTCACACACTGCACGAGGCCATTATAAGTCAATTATTTTCAAGAAATCAGCGCAAACTACTTACAGTGAATGATTTGACAAGGAAGAGAGAGCGGAGCGCCGAGAAAATACTCCGGGCACTCTGCAAAGAATGACACAGATAGTTCCGGTTTGTAGAACAAAAATTATCAAATCAAGTCTAAACCAATCAATAAATATAAAAAGTATTCTATTATTGGCTTATATAACGTATGTTAATATAGCATTACATCACTAAATTATTCCTGTTAGCATATATTCTGTTGTCTCTATAATATAATGTCACTATGCAAACCGGTTATTAAGTCTATAATAATGTATTGTGCATAATGCATATATGTAAAATATATCATTATATGTTTCTTTCACATGAAAAAAAAAATCTCTGACCAATAACGTCAGCTGTAGAATCAAAACACTAGTATAAAAGCCAGTTTTGATTAAAAAAAAAAATTTATCTCCTAATTTTATAAAGCTACTTTCCACCACCGGTACAGCTCGTTTTACTTATGATAATTCATCTTGAATTATGTTAATTTTGAGGTGAATCCCAAAGCAGTTAAATGCATTGGACTAAAATAAAAAAAATTAAATGTACTTATATGTGATTTAAATAACTAGTTTTTTTTTTTAAGAAAATGATAGAAATCTCTCCCAGTGAAGGCTTAAACCAACGCATTTCTTTACAATCTTTGTAGCTGATGTGCCTGAGAGAAACTGATAAGTAATGTATCCAGTGTAGGACCAACCAACAGACAGCTTGTGTCTGAAGATAAAAGACACGAGCCCCCACTTTTCCCACACAACCCTGGGCTGTCAGCTGTACACTTGTTCAGCTTGACAGAGGCGATACAGCGGCTGACTTTCAAGGTAAGGCGATGCAAAAGTAAAATGAGTTATTTTTGAAGCAAAACCACCAGAGAGAGGGGCGCAGAGGTACTGAAAGTCCTTAAAGGATCACTTGAAGACTTTTCTTCTTCCTGATATTTCATTATATTTCCTGCTTGCTCATTTCAGCTGGCTGTGCTTTGGCCACAGGCTTCAGGGCATGTGACTTTCGCTGCTACTACTACTGTGCTTACTCATCCTGTGTGTAGGGCTCATTATTCCACTCCACTATACATGAACATGAATCATCCTCACATTCAGATATTTTTGGTATATGCTGCCTACAAGGAGATCAGACGTGGAGATGATGTAGCACTCTGATCTTTGGATAACCCATTCTTGTGTTGAATGATGACAGCTGAATCTCTGTCAGTTTTTTTGTTTTTGTATTTCCCATTCAGTTTGTGCCAATTCATGTAGGTCATTTAGCGAAATCACTGTTCTCTTGTGTTTAGCACAGCAGCTTTATTTTCTATACTACGATGGATACCAAATAATCATGAGACAGATAATAGGGCTTAAAGCTCAGGGCCTTGGTGTGTTTGGAGCAGAGCTGATCAGTGCCAAGAAATGTTCTTACATGAGTGTTCTTGAGTTGTTCTGGACTTAATTTAAGCTGACAACTGTGAGGTGAGGTGCCAACACAATAATCCCAGTGACGAATCCAAAGCCCACACCTTTTTTACGTGTGTGGATTCAGTTAAGTTTTTACCCTAAAATACACCATAGTCACTTTGGGCCACATATGAGAATGATGGAGGGACAAATACACACAACCTTGAGAACTGATGATATGACCTTCTTGACCTCAAAGCAGCATTTGGCAGCCACATGGAGGAGAACGAGCAGTCAGCAAGAGGCCTCCATTTCGTGGGCAAGAAGGATGAACTTATTGAAGCAAAGCGGTCTTTCAGATCAATAGAAGATCGGGATATACTGATTATCTACCACCAGGGAGTCTTCTATGCTATGGATTCTTACTGTTACCGTAAGTGCAATTTTTCTAGTGAAAAACTCATAGTGGTCACTGCAGAGAGAGGAAATACACTGGGACCTTTAACACTGGGCTTCATTATTTAATAAATTATTGAACATTTTAGCACATGTCATCTGGAAAGTGTGTCCTTTTTAGCAAACTGTTAGTATGTTTGTTTATTTTGTGATACACTGATACCCCGTCATTTCGGCAGATGCTGGAGGAATGCTGAACAACGGCGACATTGAGGTGAGTTTCAGGTTTAAATTACGAGGGTTAGATCAAGACAACATTCCAAAATATCAGAGCAAATATCTTCTACAATCACTCAAGCAGTAATTTAACTAAACACATGAATACTTAACACAGTTTTCATATCTGAATTTACTGCCATTCACTACAAAAGCCTTGAACAAATAGTGCCTCATCTCAACCTTCTCAACTGATCTTCTCTAACTTTGGCTGTTTTTAAGAAATGTTATTAATCACTACTGCTTTTAAGTAATCTGGTATCTGTATTATTATAGTTATTATTTCTTTTTTCCCTCCCCCTTTAAACCACCTTGAATGACTATAGCATTTAAGGGTGATATATAAATAAACTTTCTTTGCCTTGTCTTAAGTTATTATCTCATTCCTGATTTAACATATTCTTGTATCTGCACAATAATGACTAAAGGCAAATGCTGGGCTAAGGCTGTGAGGATATTGTATTATTATTTTATAGTGCAAAGAAACCTAAAATGACATACACACAAGGTCATTTATCTGCCTTTTGTCCACAAGCAGGAAATTAACGGCAAGCTGTGCATAATTTGTCCGAAGCATAAGTACAAGCTCACTCTAGCCAAAGGGGAGTGCTTATACAAAGGCAACAACCCCAAGGAAAAGCCACCTGTGCCCAGATGGTACTCCAAGGGTGTGAAGCAGAGAACGCACACAGTCACAGAGAACAATGGGGAGATCTACGTCAAGCTCTCCGATAACCCAAATTGGATCGAATCAGATTACTACCAAGGAGAAAAAGGCAAGATAGAACGAGCCAAAGCTGAGGCGTCTGAGAAGGAAACATCTTGACAGTAATGGATGAAGATTGCACCCACGTGTTTTCTTTTTGTCTGCTTTGATCTCCTCTAAATAATTGCATGATGACTGTATGGCAAGGTTGTTAGTGATGACATGCACTCTGTGGTCAATTTATTAGCACTCAGTTGGATAGATAGCTCTAAAGTGGCTCTTGTTTTTGGTCATTTTTGACTGTATTTACACGTTTGTTTGGGTGATGGTTTATTTCAAACACTGGTAAAGCATTGCCATTTAACACTGATGTCTGTTTGTCAATAGCATCATCTCCATCTCTAAATAAACATTTCTAAGGATGAATTTGGATTTCTGTGTCATCCATCTCATATAGGACAGTGACATCCAATACTCTTTGTGTAGTATGCATACAGGGAAGGAATCAGTAGCACTGATGAGATCCTAGAGTGGAGTGGTTTTGCAGTATCCAAGTCTCTGTATTGCTTCAAATGGCTTTAGAACGCAAGTATATGATCTCAGAGGCTGCATAGATTTACGTATTTGGGATTATTGTCACATATTTTTTCCCCCAGTAACTGCAAAAAACGAAAACCTGTTTGCTGAGAAATTAGATAATCCAAAAAGTCTTGGAGGGTTGCATTTGTCTGGCTCTGCGGCCTCTGAGGGGGCCCTGCATATTTTGTATAAAATGTATGGTTTTTGTTGGGGATACTTTTATTTGTATCCAGTATTGCATAGGTGTCAAACTCTGGCCCGCGGGCCAAATTTGGCCCGCAGCCTAATTACATTTGGCCCGCGAAGCCATACCAAATTACTATTAGAGCTGGCTTACTGGTATTATACAGCTAATATATATATTGTTTAGTATTAAGCTTTGCTTGTTCCATATTCAGTTTTTCAGCAAACCTTGTTTGAGTCCATAAGAAAAGATTCATTCTTATATCTAGAGGAAGATTTTTTTTCAATAAATATTAATGTTAGCCCGCGACTTTGTTCCAGTTTTGAATTTTGGCCCACTGTGTATTTGAGTTTGACACCCCTGCTGTAGCTCAACTGCAGGCATTAGCTGGATAAGCAAAAGAAGATGGATGGACGGATGGATTAACAATTTCACAAAGCAGGGAAAATACATACAGTTAGTGTTATTATTATCTATTTCATCACATGTCAGTAGAATTAATGTGACTTAATGCATGGCTTTCCTATACTTCACATGCAGTGCAAAAGAATGAGGCTGTAGCATTTCTTAACCATTTGATATGACGGGTCAAGGCAGCCTGTCACATTCAGATTATTTCTCTGTTTCTGTACCAGAATTGTACAATAGTGACATTGGTTGAGAGCACAAATGCTGTGGGGTATAGAGCCCCTCTGTGCATGAATGATGCTGTTCTCTAGCTGGCTTATAGCAAACTCAGTACTGTGTGACTCTTCAGATACAGTCAAGAAAGACCCATGGTTTACATGGAATAAGGGGGCAGTTTAATTACATAATCAAGTTGGGAGTCTTGACAGAAGGCAGTGGCCATTGTCTGCAGGTGGTCATTTGCAATAGGTCAAGCGGTGGGCTGTTCGTCAAGATAAAGAGCAGACTGTGGGGAAAGTGCTTAGCAGGGCCAGTGCATCTGCCAGAAGGAGAGCATGTAAGCAACACAGATTTTCAGTGTAGAAGGGCATTCAAACTCAAGCCCTGGTTTTATGTTATGCATTATTCATAATGGCTGCGAATGACCCATGAGGCTCTGATTAAGCCTTTAAGGGTCAGGCTATTCTTCCCCTCAATTCTCAGTGGATGCCCTGGAGCTTTTCCAAGAGGGCCAGCCAGATCTTATTATTACCTTTTACCTACCTCTCCCACAACAACAAAACACCTCCCGAAAAAAAGCTGGTTTAAGCATTTTAAATGTCGTCGCAGTGTCAGCAAATAGCCGGTCGCGTGCTCACTTTGGTGGTCATTATTGTTATCCCTGTCATTAACACTGAGCCCCGTGCTTCCAGCTCGAGGTAATTAACTTTTGTGTGAACGCCTGTAGAGGAGTGCGGTGACAGTGTGGGGCAGCGGAATGGTGACAGGCGCACACACGAGCCGTGCAGAGGGGCAAAGCTGCGGTGAGGCAACAAGGTGTAAGTCCGAGTAAACAAAAACGGGTGAGGGTGTTCGTTTGTGCGCGTGTGTTGGCGCGTGTATGTCCGCGCGTGCGTGCTGCTGAGTCAGACGCGGCCGCTCACGGTTCAGTCAGCCCTCCTCTCTCTCTCTCTCTCTCCCTCTCTCTCTCTTCCTTCCCAGTTGTTATTTTGCTAGCGACACTTTGTTTCATCCACCGACGTCATCTATACAGTCTGGACACCGAGGCGCGAAGCTACCCTCCCTCTCCGTAGTTAATTGTTTCCTACCGACTGACAACTTGTTCGCCTGTTAGCGCACTGGCTGTCTGTCCATGGGCGCTGCTGTTTACACACTCTGCTGCTCCTCCTCCACCGGCTGGGCTGTCCGGTGCGCCTCTGCGGTCGGTTCGGGACGGTGTCGAACTCCGCTTTTATGAATGAATAACGAGACGGGGAAATGCCCGTGACTGCGAAACTCCCCCTACAGCCGGGCTCCCGGGGGGCCAGCCACCGATGAGAGGGATTACCGACGGAGCCGAGCCGCGGCTCATTGCGGAAAAAGCGAGCCTTGACTGCAGACTGGCGTGGAAAGGCACCGTGAGAGGGAAACGGGCTCCATAGCATAAAGCAGCGGAACGAAACCGCGGTGACCACAATGTAAGTTCCTCTGGAGCTGCAACTCATTAAGGCTTATGAAGAGATGGGGCTCCTGGTTGCATGCCTTATTGATTTTTTTCAGTATATCACTGCTTGGAAAACACACAAAGATAGCGGGAATAATTTGTCCGTCTGAATTATTCTAACATAATACCCACTCAGGTGTGATAATGAAGGCCTGGGCGAGCTTCTCTTCAGTGATTTTCAGTGACATAGCCGTGATGCACTGTCTCCGTGAGAGACATGAATAATAAGGTCCAGTGCAAAGAGAGGAGCCTCCGCTCCCTCGGTGCTCTTTGATCATCACCATCATCTACCTCTGTGGACTGAAGGCACCTGTGTGATGCCTTCAGTCCACTTTCAACCACGAGTTGTCTGGCTTGCAGGTCCATCCACATCGTGGCGCTGGGCAGCGAGTGCCCCGGAGGAGTCGGTCCAGGAGATGAGATGTTGGGGCAGGGGCAGCTGCAGGGGGGGTTGCTGTGGAGCTACTTGGGTCAGGGAGCCATGGTGGGACCGTGCGACCTAGAGAGCAGTATGCACAACCCGGCTTTCATGGAGTACACCTCACGTGTCTTTGGAGATGTCACGGTAGTGGTTCGGGATTGTCCCAGCTGGGTAAGAGACAGGTGGTGTGTTTGAGTGAGCAGACTGAGAGAAGCAGAGACACCTGCATGAGTCAGCTGTTACATTATGACTTTGGCTTGTGCATGTATTTGTGCACTGTAAGTCTGATCTTCAAGTGCTATTATGGCTCTTTTCCTCTACATTTACATCCTCTTGATAGTTTATTTGTTTAAAATAACAATCTGCAAATTTTATGCCAAATCAAAGGCATTTCCAGAGTACTGTGAGAAAATGTGAGTTACTTAATGTATATGCTGTTTACTTTTCAGTCTGCTTCTGTTTCTCAGAAGATACAGCCTTCTACAACATTTCAACTTCCAGCAGCCCTTGCCTTGCAGCGCTGATTGCAGGCTTTATAAAAACGTCTCTATTCTTAGGACGCTATTTTAACATGCATTGCAGAAAAAACCTGATGAAAGAACTTTTGTTCTTAATAGCATATGCACTGTTAGGGTTTTGTATGCATCCTATTATAGGCCTGTCTAACCCCGTCAGGGGTGTTGCTGGTGGAAGTCTGTTTGTCTAATTCTGCGTCTCTGCCTTTTATTTTTAATTCAAAATGCTCAAAGCTTTCTGAAGTGTTTTTCCTTCCTAATGGGTTGAATTAAGTTGGTTTAGAGTAGCTAGCCTCATAAAGATCTCTAGGGGGTAAAGTTAAAAAACCCAGTTACACTGATGAATTTGTACTTACATGAGAGGAAGCGTTAGGTTTATATGAGGTGTGGTGAAGACAGGGGTGTAGATACATCTCTGTGTATGTCTTTGCTTGGGTCTCAGCCCTCCATCTATTTACAAATGTCATCCTTTCCTTGCCTTTCTAGGACTTGCTGGACAGCGACTGGGCCAGTGTTCGGAAAGTTCTTGAGCAGGCGGACATTTTAGTTATTAAATATTCAGTCACTGACAAGCTGGCCTTCCAGCAGGTCAGGAATGGCTATGCTCCGAGACTCCGCCCACTCCTGAGGCACTGGGGCGTGCCCGTCATCCTCGTTGCTGTGGGAGCGCGGCTGAATGGTGAGGATGCCTTTTGTTCTGTGTTTTTGTTGGAGCAGGACCTAGTTTAGTTTAGCCAACATGGCTTGCCAACCCTCCAACTGTTTATCGTTGCTGCATATGAGCTGTCACTGTACTGGATATCCTGGCAATTTCAGGTCAGCTGACTGTTACCTACGCTGTTGGTTTTGGTTTCGGGACAGCATTATGCTCTTCTTGCTGAGATCACTCAGTGAGTCTTGTATCCTCTAGCATGTCCACACAGCAATGAGGAGGATGCTCATGATTAACTCTCCTCTTGGCTGCCTTCAGGCTGTCAGCTCACATGTTTCCCCACAGGAAACACTCCAAAGAAGTACAGTGTACAGTACAACTTTGGGGCTTTTCTGTTCCAAAAAAAAGAAGCCTTGCTTGTAGACAAGAGTTCATTGTCGTGGTGCAAAAAAAAAAAGTGCACCAGAACAGAAGTATGTGCCTTCAGCAGGATAGAGCACACATTTACAGCCTTACTGGAGGCTGCTTAACAAAATAAGCATTAACATAACACACATGTGTTGGCATCTCAGTGAGTGACCCACACCCTGTTAAAATTAAATCCTGTAAACAAGCCCATCAAATGTACCAGGTTATATTTTTAGCACGTGTGCTCAACATACTTTGAAATCCTGTCAGAGCACTGCAGCAGCGTGATCACAGTGAAAGTCAAGTCTGAAGAGAGAGAAAAACGAGAGGGGAGTGGATCACTGTAGACCAGAGCTTTTGTTTGTGTTTGTGTTTTTTTTCTTTTTCTTTTCTTTTTAGCAGCTGCTGTGAGTAGTTTCATGCAAGCCCCCCCCCCCCCCCATTGTGACTGCAGAGAATGACGGCTGAGGTCTGAGCGCTTCCTGTCTTTAGACCACCTAAGGCACATCTGTGGCAGGGGGAGCGCTGCCGCACGTGCATTAATGCAGCCATTAAACCAGCGAAGAACGGAGGAGCGCAGACAGATTTATCCAAGGGCACGCACGCACACCATTGCTTGCACAAACATACCACTGATATGCCAAGTCACAGCCGCTCCGATGCTCACGCGCGCACTTACACACACTCCTTTTCCTGCTGTCACCCTTGCACTCACTCACACGCTCTCAGCCTGCCATCGTCTCTGTGTCACGCCTGTGGGTTATTAGCAATATGATTTATCCAGTGCCTCGGGACTTGGCTGTATGTCCTGCAGATTCTGCCTTTCTCTCTCCTCCTTTGTGCAGCCCTTGCTCTAGTCTTTTTTTTTTCTCCTTCAAGATAATCCCTCTAATTTTCTGTCTGATTCTGTTCCTGTGGTCTCCCTGTGCACACATGCCACAGTACAGCCAGTCCTAGTCCACGTGCCACTGCAGATTTTACACATCTATATGATCTTGCTGTACAATTACTGACCCCCCCCCCCCCCCCCCTCATTAGCTTGCTGAAGAAATTGCAGCTTGGGGTGTGCAGCAGAAATATTTTTAAAATCCAAACGTACGCATGCATGCTTTCCCTTTTAAAAACCCTCGCTAGCTCTCTACATAGTCACCCAGAGAAAGAATTGAGGAATCGGGAAAAAGGGCGAGGCCACACCATAAAAGCCACATGTGGTTGTAGCATCTGGTTCATATGTTCTGATTTGTGAAACATGCTTTCCATTCTAGTTTAGTTTGCAAAATGTATTTTTTGCTCCAGCAGCACTGACTAACAACACAACACTTTTGCATTCTGTAAGACGGAAGTAAGGGCATTGTTTTTTGTTTATTATTGTTTATTTTTCTACAACTTTTTATTGTAATTATTGAGGAACATTGCTCATCTGAACAGGCTAAGTGTTTGCCATGGGAATTTCAGTCACCTGAAGGGAGGGTGTGTTTGTGACTATTTTAAATCTAATTATTTCTTAGAATCTGTTCAATTTTGCTGAGTGCCCTTCAGTGCGCTGCTACTCCTTTGTCACAGGCATGTTATTCTTTTCCACTTCCTCTGTGCTTGAGTGGTTCAGTAGAACTCACTGAGTCACACATGGATCTAGTACTGCCTTAGTAGGTTCATGCTTCTCAAAAAGGATAATGTAACATCAATAGCACATGTATTCCTTCAGATATACACACATAAACTAGTTATTAGTAAAGTGTGCATTACCTCATCCTACACTTGAATTCTACTGTTTTCAGATGAAGGCCCCCCCTGTACGTGTCCACTGTGTGCCTCTGACTGGAGCAGCTGCGTACCTCACAGTGAAGGTTTGCAGTTGTCCCGGGACTTGGGGGCCACCTATCTGGAGTTGCCCTCCCTCAACCATGTCTTCGTGGGTCGCTACTTTGGCAGCGTGGTAAGTGATGATGCAACACTGGAGTCAGAGTTGATGCTGTGGTGTGTTTTTGACTCAGCGTCCCCAAAGAAGAGAAAGACAAAAACACATCTCACGATGTTCTTTTCCTTCAAAGTAGAGTAACTCTGCGTTTCCAGATTGTAGATACAGTGTTTAGTAGGGGAGACAGTGACAGGTTGGACGTCCCGGGAAGTTATTTCTAAAGCAACAAGATGATGATGTAACTTCACTATCTTTGTACAGATTTTGAAATAACATGTATGTTGTTTGTGTTGTTTAGCTGGAGTACTTCATGATTCAGTGTCTGAAACACAAAGCCAAAGAGAGGCCAGAGAAGAGGCGAGGAAATAAAGTGAATGAACTTCGCCCCCCTCACTTAGAACAGCCAGGTCAGAGGAATACTATGCCAAGCAATGAGTTATCCTGGCTTTGTTTCAAGTGTCATGCATGCCTGCCATTTTTAATTCATTTAAGCAGATTTGTAGCCTGTGTGTGTTTTTTAAAAATATATTTCTTAATTATATATATTTTTGTCAATTGCCGTGTTTATGGTGTTTAGAAACATTCAGTGAACTGGATGGATTGTTACCTTTTGAGCTTACATAGCCATAAAAAGAGCTGAGCACAAAGGTTTTATCTGGATCAATACGCTCTGTTCCAAACTGGAAAGACAAAGAGCTAGGTAGACTACTTTTATTCACTGACATTTGAATCAATTTTAGCCTGAGCAAACAGAAGCAGTAACAGCTGAGTTCCCTGCGTTTGGTGGAGGCAGCTCAATGATTGTTCTTATGAGACTGTGGGATTACTCCTTAACCTCATCTTTTAGTGAAGCCCTCTCATGTTGTCAGTTCAGCGCTTGGTCCTGTATGTTATGTGTTTTTAATTTTTCATGCCTATTGTTGAAGTTAATTATTCACAATATGTTTCCCCCAACAACAAAAAATTATCTTTATAACCAAATAAATGTGTTGATTATAATGATTTTTGTCAAGGCAATGGTGATGAGCTTCTAAAATCTAGAGCAGCGGTCCTCAACCTTTTTTGCGCCACGGACCGGTTTATGCCTGACATTATTTTCACAGACCGGCCTTTAAGGTGTCGCGGATAAATACAACAAAATAAAACTAGTACCGGTACCGAAAAAAAGAAGATTTATTCATAACACACGTGAAAAGACCCAGGAAAACCGAGTTAACGATAAAAACGATAACAAAATAACGCTGAAAACCGATAAACCCCCTGAAAACCATACATTTCACACCTGAGCCTCAACTCTCGCGGCCCGGAACCAAACAACTCCGAGGCCCGGGGGTTGGGGACCGCTGATCTAGAGAAGAGCGATCATGGATGTTTAAAAAAACAAAGAAAGACCAGACAGTTTCTCCCAGTTCTCTCTTTAAGTCGCTCACACTACAAAATGACTCAAATGGTCCATTATAAATCAAAAAGTTGCCAGTTAATTGCTGACTAATTACTTAAGATGTTATTTAGTCTTAGTCTGCTTATCTGAAATTCAGAATTTTAGATGAAATTGCAATTAAGCTGCAAAAAGCCACTCATGTTAAAAGTTCTCTCTCTCTCTCTCTCTCTCTCGCTTTTTTTTTTTTTTGAGGCCCTTGCAGATTTATTGCAGACTTAATCAAACTGCGTCTTATCCAGTCACATTCTGCAAAAGACCACAAATTATGAGGAGATAAATGATCAAAAGAGGCTAAACCTCACAGAAAGGCTGACACACAGCAAACAGCTTAGACACAGCGAGTTTGATTACTGTAGAAACGCTGAAAAAGAAACGGGCTGAGCTGGAGTGCTCGGTGGCTGCATGTCTGCTGCTCTCCCTTTCTCTTAATGCTCTGCTTTTTTGGACGCTCTTTGTCCTAATTGGATACAAGAGAGTCTGATTAAAGCTGCAACTGGCTGCTGGATGTTGCCACAAACTGAAAGCTTTCTGTGCGCTGAATTTGAAACCAGGAAATTAAAAGTAACAACTCCAAGACCTCGAGTAGACGAAGTAGTCTGGTGTTGTATTCAGGGAGGGGGTTAGAATACAGAGCTGCACTCCTTGGTTCACTTTTCTTCTCCTCTCTGCTATGGCCATTCCTGCATGCAAAGTCATGCTTTTAAAAAAACCGAAACACCTGAACATATTTAACACAAACTACGCTGTTAAACCTGTGTTAAATATCGATCCGAGCAGGTTTCCGCTTTGCCTGTTTAAATCTGACTGACATTTTTAAGTGCTGCCAAAAAAATGGCAGCAAGTGCCTGCAGGATTTATTGGTGTCGTTCGACACTGCTTAGCTCCCTTTACGGTGTAGCTTACATTAACAATGACATACGGGGATTAAGAAGCGGCACAGTTGTCATGGCTAAAACAGAGCACTCATAAAAAAGGAGATGAGCTCCACAGAGGTGCAGTAAGTATTAAGCATCAATAGGAATATAATAGGCCAATGATTAGTGAAGCTGAAGCTCCCTCGCCCTGCCTTCTTTGTTCCCCTGCTCAGTGCTTTTTTACTTTTTACTAATTTGACTTCATGAATGCATGAATCACTGAGCGTGCACAGCTTTGCCTCCCATTTTTCCAAGAGACGCTTTGTTGTGTTTTTCTTCGTTGCAATTTTCTGTGTATTCACGTTTGTCATGCAGTTCACTGCAAATCGTTGTCTTTTTTTGTTGGTTTTTCCTTTTTGTGTCTTCTTCATTTATTAGATTAGTTCCAAATCTTTTTAATCCCAAAGTTTTGGGGTGTGCTGTTCATTTTAGTGTTTTATCACCAAAACAATTTAAAAGTAAAGTTGACAAATAAAGGTCAACTTCAGGTCCTTTTTCAGTCTCTGACCAGACCAGACCAGACTAGACCAGAATTTCACTGCAGCAGCCTTGAGCTACTTTCATCTTTTAAGGACTGTTATTAATGCAAAGACAAACGTACCTGGAAGCCGTTCTTTAAACATGAGCAACGAGAAAGGACAAAAATGACCTGTCTCTTTTTCTTGGCTTTAAAATCTCACTGTGCTGTTGCTGACAAGATCACTCCCTCGACCTGCATTGTACACCCCAATTTTTCTCTGAGTTGTCAAAACTCATTGCCAACAGCCTCCCAAGAAAACACAAGTACAAGTAAACAAGGCAGACTGAAGGAAAATTGAGTACACCAAATATCAATACTAAAACACTCCTGAGAGGCTTTGAACATAACAAGCCCATTCAATATTCTGTGTTATTCTTTGATATGGAGGCAAACTGAATTTCAGCAGTAATTGCTCATCATCTCTGTCCATCCTCACTCGTTTCTTTTGTTGCTCTCTTCTGTTCAGCTCGTCTTCCCCCTATTAGAGTGGAGGAGTCCAGCTTCTCCCAGGACATGCAGTGGTTGTTGGAGCGTGGCGTGCAGTTCGCCGATGTGGCTTTCTATGCCGGGGATTCTGGGAAAGAGCTGGGTTGGGCGCATGCCGCTGTGCTGTGTGCTGTCAGCCCGTACTTCAGACAGCTACTCCTTGGGCCCAAGACCAGGTAGGAGAGATATTAACCTCTTCACAGCATGGGGTTTAATATCCTATTTCACCACCTGAGTCTGTAGCCAGCGAGAGCCCAACTATTTCGGCAAACTTCTCTGTAATTGAAACATTTTCTTCTATCTCTGGTTGGACAGGGAACGTCCACAGTCGCGGTGTGTTTGCAGAGAGCGTGACGGAGGTCCCCACTCGCTGCTTTCCACCTGGGATGGGAGTATTATTGATGACATGCCGAGATCAGATGGACACCTGACGGGACGCCTCACTCGTCTGGTGGTGAAGGACCCCCTGCTGTGCATGTGCTTGTGGGAGACTCTCATGTTCATTTATAGAGGTAAAAACCTCCATCCAAAGAAAGATTTGTTGCTGTTATCCTAAATCTGCTGTTATGTATCTTTATAGAAAATGCCATCATGTCCATTTATCCAATTTAACAGCCACTTGTAAGCTCTCGAGGTACTGAATGTGGAAATCCACCTGATTCCTAGTGTGACTGAATGAAATCGAACAATTTGACAAATTAGCTGATGGATGTTTTCTAAGGTCAAAGAAAATGAAACGCTATATCACAAACCTCTCTTTTTCCAAAAGAAAGAGAAGTGGTGTGATATCCTGTACTGTATGTGTTGTACCAGCTGACAGAAAACTCACAGGCCTCACAGACGTAGCTGCAGACTGAAGATTAAAGGTTCTGTAATCTGAAAAATCCCTTCTTTGCTAGGAAACTGTTCTGGGTACGCTTTGGATACATTGCTCATTGCTCGTATTAGTAATATATAGACAAAAGCAAAATGCATGAAGGTAAATGGTTGACAGGAAGAGGGTTTTGTTTTTTTGTTTTGTTTTGTTTTCCTTACCTTTAATTTATAGTCTGATTATCTTAGAAAGGCTTCATTACCCCACACAACCCTGAATTAGTGAAGAAGATGGATGGATGTGTGATTGGGCATTAAACTAGTGTTGCTGTAAATGTACAGGCACCTATATTAGTTAGAAAAGCTATTTATAAGCAGTAACACTGATAACAAGTCTAGTAAAGCAATTATTATTAGGACTGACATAGCTATCATGATGTCACTCATTCGTTTCTGGAGTGTGCATTTATGCTGGAGTATTGGCAGCTGCCATGCTGTTTTTTTGGTGCCAGAAATGACCGTATTTGGATGAGAGGTTGGAGAATTAAGTTATAATCTAACACTAGTCAGCTTGGTTGGCAACCTGCATCCTTAAAGTGTACAGATGCTCAAATACAGACATGTACTATTTAGTGCTAAGCAACAGACTAAGAAAATATTACAGTTTCACACGGCATTATGAACACAGGCCAAAGATGAAAATGTTGTTAGCATTACTAAGGGGGCAAATTTTTCTGGCTGACTGGCCAGGGGCGGGCAGCTGAAGGGAGTTTTGTTCTCGCAGATTTGCTGGATGAGGATTTGTGGCAGATTTGTATAGTTTATGCATCAGAGACTGTTCAATAAACTATGGATATAATTTTGAGAGATGTTTGCAGACAGTAAATTTAAAATAACAAACGTTGGAGCCTGGTTTGATTGCACCATTGCTTGGCAGGATTCTTAGTCTTCATCTCTTGGTTGGCTTTTCCTGTGCTTGTGAAAGATAGAGGCTCACCATAATCTGATGGATTTTAACCATCATGACGTTTTATTGTGGTGTAAAGTAGGTAGCTGATCTATAGTGTCATTCCTCCAGCCATGCTGCTAGTGTGGCTGAATAAAATGAGAGTTTTTTGGTAATTAAGAACAGTTATACTAGACTGCAATCTAAATACTGTGGTGTAGTTTGTGTTGCTAAATAATTTCTGTGTTAAAAGCTGGACCAGCTTAAATGGAAACAACAGATAAACCACAGACGAGCCTCTCATCTCAGCCGATTAGCGGCCTGTGATTTCGCCAGCATCGAGTTGCCCAAACGGACACCCTGGCAGCAGGATGACATGCACAGAAAGTGCCAAACAGAAATTGGAAATCAGAAAAGACAAAAAAGTGTCTCCAAGCATTGGAGTCCAAACAAAGTACTTTATCCAGATAAAACTCAGTCATTTCACTTCCATGGCACTACATGATTTCTGGAAAGTGCACATTGAAATGATTATTTTTACTGAATACTACAGGCTTATTAATATTTGATCCATTGTATACATCCATCCATCCATTCGCTTCCGCTTATCCTTTTTCAGGGTCGCGGGGGGCGCTGGAGCCTATCCCAGCTGTCATAGGGCGAGAGGCGGGGTACACCCTGGACAGGTCGCCAGTCTGTCGCAGGGCAAACATACAGGGACAGACAACCATTCACACTCACATTCATTCGCACATTCACACCTAGTGACAATTTGGATTATCCAATTGACCTATCCCCACAAGCTGCATGTCCTTGGACGGTGGGAGGAAGCCGGAGTACCCGGAGGGAACCCACGCAAACACGGGGAGAACATGCAAACTCCACACAGAAAGACCCCGGCCTGATGTTGGAATTGAACTCAGGACCTTCTTGCTGTGCGGCAACAGTGCTAACCACCGTGCCCCATTGTATACATTTATGACATATTTAAACAATGCAGTCCTGTAGTGATATTTTTTTATGTTGCCAAAGCCAGTGCTGCATCCTTGATGTTTCCTGTTTTGCTAATTTAGACACATTAGGTACATTACAACTGGAGCAAAAATAGCTGGACTGACATTCACAGGAAGGGAAATCTATTCCCTAAAAGCAGTTACTCTTTTTCTAATAATTTAGATGTGATGATTAATGGTCCTGTGGCAGCAGAAGGCAGTTTTCCTGCTGCTGGGCCTTGTCCAATGTTCCATTACGCCGAGGAACAGAAGTCAGTCAAGTTGAAAGTACTTAATAGCAAGCAACTGTAGTATTTTAATCTAGGACCAGATCAATCATTTTGTAGTAGTGTGATCTTGAACTCCTTTCTGGAGCTACGCTTGCACTTCCCTTGGCTCCCTCAGGACATGTGTGTGTCTTTTGTCTCTCTCGTAGCGTATTTCTATTAAACATTATGGAATGACAGCAGGAGGGGTTGGCACACTGGTACACCATTGTAATTGTGAATGTGATTAGCTGATAGAGTCAGACTCTGCCACCTGTTCCTGGGGGCTTATATTTACATCAAGAAATGATAAAGTGCATACACTATTATATATTGTACATATATTTATTAGTTTCAGGTTGGCCATTCTTGTATTTTGCTCGTTTGTGTTGTTGTGTTTGCACATCTCTGTTGCTTGTGGGGCTCGCACACAAGAATTTCACTCGCATGTGCTGTGCCAGTGTGCCTGCACATGTGATGTGACAATAAAAAGTGATTTGATTTGATTTGATTTGATTTGTCTTGTATAATTTCCAATGCCATCTATTAGGTTGCTCTCACGGACTAAGCATGCAAGCACAAAACATCCGAGGCACTGTAAACACTGAGGCAGTTGCATCCAGTGTGTTCTCGAGTCGGGTGTGAAGCCAGTAAAACAGGCATGCAATATTTTCTTCAACTTTAGCAATGTAAAGCTCCCACAGCTTAGAGTCTGTGGTGCTGTGCCTGCTGCATGTCAGCTCGCAGTGCCTGCTAGCTGGCACTTCAACACAGGCTGCACGGTGTGCACAAATCCTTATGGCAAAAAAAGCTGTGCAAACATCTGATTCCTGGCTGCCTGTTAACGTGCATGTGAGTCGCGTTGATGCTCTGACACACAAACAAATCAACAGCAGAAGTAGACACACAAACACGTAAGCTGAGAGTGTATGCGGCTGGTGGAGGGTAAGCAGAGGAGGGAAGAAGATTATAGAGTTAGACTGATTCTCTCTGAGTGACTGTCTGAATAAGAATAAGAAAACCAGCAGTTGAAATAAGGGGAGGGCAGTGTGTGTGTGTTCATGTGTACATAGTCCTTGTGTGTTTGTGTGGATATTTTTTGAGTAAGAGAGGAGGAAGATGGGATAGTGTGGAGTGGAAAAACTGGGACCAAGGGGAAAATGAGAGGGGAGAAGAAAGTAAGACCCTGCTCATCTGTAGATAATGTGATGGTAAAAAGCTGAGCACTACCGTTAGTTTGTGTGTGTGTGTGTGTGTGTGTGTGTGTGGGGGTGCTTGGAGAGAATAGCAGGAGGAATGTGTGCGTGTGCTGAGTGGACTAGGAATACCCTGTTTTCATAAAAGACTGCAGGGAGACGGTGTTAAGTCTCGTGTAAAAATTGACTAATGTTAACCTTCAAAATGGTGGGTCTCACTGTATGTTTAAAGCAGCTGACCTCATATACCGAGTGTGTGCTAGTGTATTTTCTTGAATTGGCTAATCAGATGTGAATGAGCGTCTTCTTTGCCCACAGAAACATTCAGAGCTCAGCGAGCCAATATTTGTTCATTTGCAGTAAATCCACAACAAGCTGTACTTTGCCTTTCCAGAGATGGGATAGATATTTTTTTTTGACTGTGATTCAACAACTGGCAGTTGTCGCTTATTTTATTTGGCTTTCCAGAGCTAATTTGCATAACAATATATCATGTATCAGTAAACACACACACCCATGGTGTTATTCCAAACTTGGGGTTTTTGTCACATGAGTGTGAATGGACAGTCACAGAGGCCATGACTTTGCTTGTGTGATGTTAACACTGTGAGACTCTGTCTCCTTGTGTATTGTGCTGCTGTACTATTGAATTTGTCACTTGGTTGGTGTGGTGTGTATGTGCATGTTTAACACGTTTAGTACATGTCTGTGACACAGATCTGTGTGTGTGTGTGTGTGTGTGTGTGTGTGTGTGTGTGTGTGTGTGTGTGTGTGTGTGTGTGAGGACATTCAGGACCAGTTGTTTTTTAGGGCATCTTATCTCAAATTATCTTAGAAGTTTGATTTGCTGACCTTGCTGCTGTGTTATTCGAATTTAGTTGAAGTTAAACTTAAGAGCCAGGAATGAAACTTCTTGGAAATGTCTTTGTGATTGTTGTTTTTTAATTGTTTACACATGATTTCTTCTCCAACTTGTTTGCCTGTCCACTTTTTGTCTATTTGAATACATAGTCTTGGTGTCCAGTTGCGTCACGTAAAAGCACAACAGCGCTTGAGCTAATCTCTCGGCCTGCGTTTGAGGTGTCTGCACCACACAGTTTCATTATCCGGCCCCGCTTGTTGAGGTAATCCCTCTATCAGGCTAAATACCATCATTATGAACTAATGATGAGCTAAATCCTGACCAGACCAGCTCCCTTCTTTCCTCGACAGCCTGTTTATGTCCCAGTGAGACAGAGTGTGCCACCCCAATCAAGCTACAGGAATGTTTTGCGTTTATAAAGCATCTACAATTTAAGA